ACAGAGCTACTTTGTGTGTCGAATCTTCCTAGCAATTGCTTTTCAAGGAATTAGAAATTGAGGCCAATATTCCTAATATCCATTGGGGTTAATATTTTCAAATTTATTGATTATAATTATTTGTTCTTTTTCTAAACTCTACACTCAATTTTCAGACCGTTTCCGATCACTAAATAGTTTGTATTTAGACTTTCCCGGTGAAAGCCCACCTGTGTACGTGATTGTTGCCTGGCTCTCATTTCTTTTCGTGTCTTTGGATCTCTGTGCCTGAAATTCAGTATTCCAGGTGAATTTTCTCTGTGAAAGAAAAATATAAGTGCAGATGAAAAAGAGCAAAAGTCTCCTTGCTTTTCGACAGTTTATAACTGCAGTGTATGAAAAGCTAACAGACACAGTAAGCAAAATAGAAAAGGAACAGGTGAGGAACACCCATCGGAAAGACACAAAGAGTTCTGTTTCCTTTCGGTCTTCAGTTGTATGTCTCCACTCGATCTAACATTTTCCTTCTCTCTCATCCCAACAGGAATACTATGACAAAGGAGATTACATCATTAGAGAGGGTGAGGAAGGGAGTACCTTTTTCATTTTGGCAAAAGGAAAGGTAAATATTAACGCAAGCTTACTGAGTCAAAACTGTTCTCTGAAATCGGTTTGCCAAAAACTCAACAATGCTTTGCGCCGCGGCAGAGCCTTCTGCGTTGAATAGATACAGGAGCTTCCACCAGCGGAATCCCACGGGGTCCCGTCTGAACGCTAGGCTTGGGGTGGGGGCCACGGGAAACTGGTGATGGGTTCCAGCAGAGATAATAACTCTTTAGTGACCTTACGTAGGCCACTTGACTTTTGGGGGCCAAGATTCAACTGTGTATAAGACGGCTGGGTTATTTCGCACGCTTCTAGCTAGGAGTGTGTGATTCTCAATCAGCTTCAAGATCCAGGATCACGCCTGGAACATTTTCCAATCCAACAGCTACAGCAAGCGGCAGGTGCAGGAGAATGAGTTCAGCGATTGAGGACCACGGTGGTTGGACATCAAGCCGTAGAACCAATATGGCTCAGAACTTCAATTCACATGCAATAGCTCAAGAGAATTTAAATGCTGCTGCAGGATTTATACTAACGTGTACAATAGGTCTTTTGCTCTGCCTGGATATTGAATGGATTGCATGTTTCCAGTTGTTCCTATGTTCAGTCTTAATAATGTTCCTCAGAGATGAAAAGCATTTGTGAAATATTTGAAGGAAAAAGAGTCAATTCTTGAGCACCTGGGTCTATAAATTGTCAGATTTTTACATATTTTCTCTCCTCCATGGAGGAGTTTATCATCAGAGAGTCGGGCACTGCCTTTTGCAAACTGGTGTGTGGCTGAACTCTGAACAGGGCTCCCAGTGAAGGGAAAACATGAACAAAATAGTTTCAAACCTCTGAAACTCTTCAACACTCAGAACCACTACTTATCATTTCTCCCTGACCTGGACCCCATGCTTTGAAATAATTCTGGCTGATAAACACGTTAAATTTATTATTTTTTAAATTTTAATTCATCGTGACTTACATAAATGCCAATCGGAATTTCTAATGCATGAAGCAACACTTCTTTCCATGTTGCATTGGAATAATTTTAGTCACAAACAGGGCTTTTGACTCTGTGTAGGTCTGCTCGTGGGGGTTCTTAAATTTCCTGGTCCATGAATTGCTTTGAAATACGCATGGAAGTTGTAGACCTTTCTCCAATCTGCATTTTACAGTTTTAGGGGCTACACAGGTTTCAGCCGGTCGGTCTGTGGACACCCGGCTCAGAACCACTGATATCCACTAACCTTGTTCTTCGTTCATTTGCCAACTCTGTTGGGCTTTTGCAAATAACAAATGCTCCCCCAGGACCGTTATTCGCTTTGAGGAGCTCTCAGAAGAAACCACTGGATTCATATTAAAAATTTAACTTTGGGAGGTGGGGTTCGAATGGTGAGTTTTCCTCTTACAGTGGATGGAGTTATTTGATGGTGTTTTAAACTACAAGATTTCCCACATATAGCAAACTGAACTAAATGTAGTTAATTGTTCTAACTACTGCAAAATTAAAGCAAAGTCTTGTCTTTTTTTCTCTTTAATCAAGTGTTTATAGCTCTGCCCAGCAGGGGTGGGGAACTGTGGCCTTCTAGGTGCTTACGTGCAGCCTTTTGACCAAATCCAAATTTTACAGGACAAATCCTTTTATCGAAAGGGGCGCAGAAGAGAAAAATGAAGCTTTTCTTGCTTCCTTTGGTGTTTAAAAAAGAACAATCTTGAAATCAGAAGGCGCAGTTTCCCCACCCCTGCAAGGGGTTGATCGAATGGAAATGTGCCCACATTCTCCTTTTCATTCTTTCTCTTCTTAATTATTTAACATTGTTTAGGTAAAAGTTACGCAGAGTACAGAGGGCCACGATCAACCGCAGCTGATAAAAACACTGCAGAAGGGAGAATATTTTGGAGAAAAAGCTCTTATCAGGTGAAGCCATGAATATATATACCATACTTAAATAAAATGCTTCGATTGTTTTGCATGTAAAAGTATTTCTTTAGAGTTGTCAAACTGAGCTACCAAATTAATGGCAACAAATATCCAGAAATTAAACAAAAATTTTAGACTGACTCCAAAAAAA